GAGGAAGCTAATGATGATGATCATGTAACTTCAGATCAAGTTACTACCGAATCTCGTAGGTAAACCAGAGTGAGATTCATACCAGAGTGGTACGGTAATCTTGTTCTGGAAGTTATGTTACTATACCATGAAGAACCTACGAACTATGAGGAAGCGATGATGAGCCCAGATTCCGCAAAATGGCTTGAGGCCATGAAATCTGAGATGGGATCCATGTATGAGAACAAAGTATGGACTTTGGTTGACTTGCCCGATGATGGGCGAGCCATAGAAAATAAATGGATCTTCAAGAGGAAGACGGACGCCAATAGTAGTGTTACTATCTACAAAGCTAGAATTGTCGCAAAAAGGTTTTCGACAAGTTCAAGGTGTTGACTACGATGAGAGTTTCTCACTCGTATCTATGCTTAAGTCTGTCCGAATCATGTTAGCAATTGCCGCATTTTATGAAATCCGGCAAATGGATAAACAAAACTGCATTCCTTAATGGATTTATTAAAGAAGAGTTGTATATGATACAACCAGAAGGTTTTGTCAATCTTAAAGGTGCTAACAAAATGTGCAAACTCCAGCGATCCATCTATGGACTGGTGTAAGCATCTCGGAGTTGGAATATACGCTTTGATAAGTTGATCAAAGCATATAGTTTTATACAGACTTGCGGTGATGCCTGTATTTACAAGAAAGTGAGTGGGAGCACTACAACATTTCTGATAAGTATATGTGTATGACATATTGTTGATCGGAAATAATGTAGAACTATTCTGCAAAGCATAAAGGAGTGTTTTTAAAGAAGTTTTTCAAAGAAAGACCTCGGTGAAGCTGCTTACATATTGAGCATCAAGATCTATAGAGATAGATCAAGATGCTCGATAAGTTTTTCAATGAGTACATACCTTGACAAGATTTTGAAGTAGTTCAAAATGGAACAGTCAAAGAAAGAGTTCTTGCCTGTGTTGCAAGGTGTGAAATTGAGTAAGACTCACAGCCCGACCACGGCAGAAGATAGAAATAGAATGAAAGTCATTCCCTATGCCTCAACCATAGGTTCTATAAAGTATGCCATGCTGTGTACCAGATCTATTGTATACCCTACACTGTGTTAAGCAAGGGAGTACAATAGTAATCTAAGAGTAGATCACTGGACAACGGTCAAAATTATCCTTAGTGGAATAAGAAAATATTTCTCAATTATGGAGGTGACAAAAAGGTTCGTCGTAAAAAGTTACGTCGATACAAGTTTTGACACAGATCTGGATGACTCTAAGTATCGATCTAGATACATATTGAAAGTGGGATCAATAAGCTAGAGTAGCTCCGTGCAGAGCATTGTTGACATAGAAATTCGCAAAATACTTACGGATCTAAATGTGACAGACCCTTGACTAAAATTATCTCACAAGCAAAACATGCTCACACCTTAGTACTCTTTGGGTGTTAACCACATAGTGATGTGAACTAGATTACTGACTCTAGTAAACCCTTTGGGTGTTGATCACATATCGATGTGAACTATGGGTGTTAATCACATGGTGATGTGAACTATTGCTGTTAAATCACATGGCGATGTGAACTAGATTATTGACTCTAGTGCAAGTGGGAGACTGAAGAAAATATGCCCTAGAGGCAATAATAAAGTTATTATTTATTTCCTTATTTCATGATAAATGTTTATTATTCATGCTAGAATTGTATTAACCGGAAACATAATACATGTGTGAATACATAGACAAACAAAGTGTCACTAGTATGCCTCTACTTGACTAGCCCGTTAATCAAAGATGGTTATGTTTCCTAACCATGAACAATGAGTTGTTATTTGATTAGCGGGATCACATCATTAGGTGAATGATCTTATTGACATGACCCATTCCATTAGCTTAGCACCCGATCGTTTAGTATGTTGCTATTGCTTTCTTCATGACTTATACATGTTCCTGTAACTATGAGATTATGCAACTCCCGTTTACCGGAGGAACACTTTGGGTGCTACCAAACGTCACAACGTAACTGGGTGATTATAAAGGAGTACTACAGGTGTCTCCAAAGGTACATGTTGGGTTGGCGTATTTCGAGATTAGGTTTTGTCACTCCGATTGTCGGAGAGGTATCTCTGGGCCCTCTCGGTAATGCACATCACTTAAGCCTTGCAAGCATTGCAGCTAATAAGTTAGTTGCGGGATGATGTATTACAAAACGAGTAAAGAGACTTGCCGGTAACAAGATTGAACTAGGTATTGGATACCGGCGATCGAATCTCGGGCAAGTAACATACCGATGACAAAGGGAACAACATATGTTGTCATGCGGTCAGACTGATAAAGATCTTCGTAGAATATGTAGGAGCCAATATGGGCATCCAGGTCCCGCTATTGGTTATTGACCGGAGACGTGTCTCGGTCATGTCTACATTGTTCTCGAACCCGTAGGGTCTGCACGCTTAAGGTTTTGATGACAGTTATATTATGAGTTTATGAGTTTTGATGTACCGAAGGAATTCGGAGTCCCGGATGAGATCGGGGACATGATGAGGAGTCTCGAAATGGTCGAGACGTAAAGATCGATATATTGGACGACTATATTCGGACATCGGAAAGGTTCCGAGTGATTCGGGTATTTTTCGAAGTACCGGGTAGTTACGGGAGAAGCAATGGGTCTTGATGGGCTTTAGTGGGAAGAGGAAAAAGGGCCAAGGGGCTGCTGCCCCCCCTCCCCTCTAGTCTGAATTGGACTAGGGAAAAGGGGCCGGCCACCTCTCCTTCTCCACTTCCTTCTCCCTTCGTCCCCTCTTGGTGGACTCCTACTAGGACTTGGAGTCCTAGTAGGACTCCACATCCTGGCCGCACCAAGCCTTGGCCGGCCTCCTCCTCCTCCATCCTTTATATACTGAGGCAAGGGGCACCCCATGGACACACAAGTTGATCCTCGTGATCGTTGCTTAGCCGTGTGCGGTGCCCCCTGCCACCATATTCCACCTCGGTCATATCGTTGTAGTGCTTAGGCGAAGCCCTGCGTCGGTAGAACATCATCAACGTCACCACGCCGTTGTGCTGACGGAACTCATCCCCGAAGCTTTGCTGGATCGGAGCCCGGGGAGCGGCATCGAGTTGTACGTGTGCTAAGAACTCGGAGGTGCCGGAGTAACGGTGCTCGGATCGGTCGGATCGGGAAGAAGACGTATGACTACTTCCTCTACGTTGTGTCAACGCTTCCGTTGCGATCTACAAGGGTACGTAGATCATACTCTCCCCTCTCGTTGCTATGCATCACCATGATCTTGCGTGTGCGTAGGAAAATTTTGAAATTACTACGTTCCCCAACAGCCACTCGTCACGGATATTATGTTTGAAGGCCGCTAAGGCCTCTGCGTCCGGGCAGTCGACTATCTGGTTTTTCTTTGTTAGGAACCGTGTCCAGAATTGCCTGGCCGATTCCTCTGGCTGCTGAATTATGTGGCTTAGGTCATCGGCGTCCGGTGGTCGCACATAAGTGCCCTGGAAGTTGTCAAGGAATGCGGCTTCCAGGTCCTCCCAAGAACCGATTGAGTCTACTGGCAAGCTGTTAAGCCAATGCCGGGATGGTCCCTTAAGTTTGAGTGGGAGGTATTTGATGGCGTGTAGATCATCACCGCGGGCCATGTGGATATGAAGGAGATAATTCTCGATCCATACCGCAGGATCTGTTGTGCCATCGTACGATTCGATGTTTACGGGTTTGAAGCCCTCAGGGATTTTATGATCCATTACTTCATCTGTGAAGCATAGTGGGTGTGCGGTGCCTCTGTATTGGGCTATATCACGACGCAGCTCGAAGGAGCTTTGTCTGTTGAGTTCGGCCCGGCCGGATTCATTGCATCCGGAGTGACGATCACCGTCACGTGCCGTGGGGCGTCTGCGCGACCCGTAGATCGGTCTTGTTTGCCTTGCCTTGTCCTCCAGTATGTCGCGCAGGTCGGGCGCATTTTCCTGTGCCTTAGTATGCTTGACGCGGCGCCAGGGCATGGCTTGAGTGGAGGGCCGAGAGGCCTCTCTGTCGCGGCCACGAGGTGGCCGGTCGGCCATGTCATGCGCTGGTGATGTAGGTGCTTCCTCCTCTAGTCGGGGTAGCAGCCTGCGCTTTGGGTAACTCTTGGAGGGGCGTTCGAGTTCATACTCTTCGGCCGCAAGGATTTCAGTCCATCTGTCAGCTAGCAAATCCTGATCAGCTCTAAGTTGTTGCTGCTTTTTCTTGAGGCTGCTTGCCGTGGCCATAAGTCTGCGTTTAAAACGCTCTTGTTTGGCAAGATCCTTTGGTCGTCGAGGCTTGCTGACAGAATATAAAATATAAGAATATTCCTTTGCATGCACATATAAGAAACATGATCTTGCTTATGTATGATCTGCTGTTTTTGGACTTTGTTCCTTTGCATGCATATATATAAGAAGTATGATCCTGCTGCTTGCATGTCTCTAAAGATAATAAAGCTGCCTACAAAGGGAGCTCTTTGGTGCACTAGATTAGGTATGTACGTCCCGGTTGTTACGGGGCATTTGTTGTTTTAGTCGCTTGGGTCTGGCTATTGGATATGTGAGGTCCGTGTATATTTCTTGGCTGACACGTGTAGGAACTCAACCGCCCACCACTCATACACATAGGAAAATTCCATGTCCAATAAAAAGTCCAGGACCAAGGCAGCCACATCAACAGCCTATGAAAACAAACAACGAAACACATGGCACACAACAAACATCGGCAATAGGAAAATGACAAAGAACTATACAGCAAACGCGACAATGAAAATCGGCGCAGCGAAGCGCGCGTCTACATACATGTACGGCCCGGAGTCCAGTTCTTCGACACCAGTAACAAATTTAAATTTCCCCAGGAACTCAAACAATTTCAGGTGCTTGTACAGCAAATGCACACTGCCGCTCCAGAATCCAGATAGTGATAGCATACACATACACAACGGGAATGATGTTACAACAAATTCACAGTGACATCGAGTGATAGCTAGAGGATCACCGTTGCCCATCGGCGGTACATCCGACGGAACTCCGGCGGGCGATCAACTCCTCCATGAGCTGCTCGACGTCGTCGTACGACGACCCGCCCTTCTCCACCGCGCCCCTCGCCATCAAGCCGAGCTCCTTCGCCTTCTTCCGCATGGCCATGCCGTCGCCCTCCTCCCCCATCACTCTCCGGATGGATTCTGCGATCGCCTCGCCGGCGATCACCCGGTGGGTCTCCAAGCACGACGCGTAGTCCTCGGCGCCGACGCCCACGCCCACGCCGAGCACCTCCACCACGAGCTTCTCGTTGTAGAACTGGTCGGCGTACCGCGGCCACGTCACCATCGGCACGCCGGCGCTCACGGCCTCCAGCGTCGAGTTCCACCCGCAATGCGTCACGAACCCGCCGATGGCAGGGTGGTTTAGGATGAGCACCTGCGGCGCCCAACCTTGGATGATGTACCCACGGTTCGCCTCTGGCGTAGACGGGTCAGACGACGCGGCGGTGCTGCCCTTGGCGATGACCCACACGAAGTTCTTGCCGGAGAGGTCGAGGCCGCGGGCGAGCTCCCGCATCTGCTCTGGCGAAAAGTTGGTCATCGTACCGAAGGAGACGTACACCACCGAGCTGGCTGTTTTGGCGTCGAGCTACCGCAGGCACCCGGCGGCGTCTGGCGAGAGCGCGCCGGCGACGGCGCCTCTTGACGCCACGTCCTCGACGCTGCCGCTGGCGAGCGCGACCGGCCCGACAAGCCACGCGCGGCGGCGGAGCTGCGTGGCACGGTAGTGCTCGGCGTAGCCCGGCTCCAGCTCGCGGAAGCTGTTGAAGAGCTCGCCGTAGCTCGACCGGTCCGCGGCGTGGACGAGCTGGAACATCGCACACTCATGTGGTCGCTTCGTGGGGTCCATCATCTGGCTCCGCCGCTGCTCGACACGGTGCGGCAGCCCCGGCAGGGATACGACGGCACGGGGGTCGTCAGAGCACGACTCAAACACGTTGCACCGCAGCAGGGTGTCGGTGCAGGCACGGGCGAACATGCTGGTGGCGAGGAACGCGATGCGCGGGAGGCCGTGCTCCGCGGCGGCGTGAGCGGACCAGTGGAAGAGGCTGTCGGAGACCACGGCGTCGATGTCGGCGTGGTGGTCTGACAGGAACCGGCGGAAGGGCTCACGGAGCAGCTCCGCCGTCTGGAGGAACCTGTCGTGGTAGTCCCCGGAGGTAGCAAGGTCCCTCCCGCTCTGGGCAGCCGGCGGGAGCCCGACGTCGGGGAAAGGCACGACGGAGATGGACATCGGGGTGCCGGTGGCGCTGCTGTCGTTCGCACGGTCCACGACGGAGCGGATGGTGAAGCCTTGGACGGGCGTGGTGAGGACGGTGCACCTGACGCCGCGAGCGGCGAAGACAGTGGCCATGTCGGCCATCGGGATAAGGTGGCCAGGAAGGAGGAAAGGGAAGAAGAGGATGTGTAGCGGCTGGTCGTCGTTCTTTGTTGGCGCCATGGCTGCCATCCAAGCAGGTCGCGCAGGTCAGCCGTTCCTGTAGCGGATGCTCGCGAGTCGTGATCACCACGCAGACGATTGCTTTCTGCTGCGGCGGCGACTTTGGCATTGCACAAATGGATTCCCACCGCGCGGGAATTATAATTGTACCCGACCGATGATGATGTGCGTCGTACTCGAATCAATTAGGGCATGTGCAATGGTAGCAGATAAGATAATATTATTTAAGTTTTGTATGTAATTTAGAAATGACAAAATAATATTTACAATTGGTCATCTCGTAATCATATATTCAAAACTAGTATTTCTTAAAAACGTGGTGAAACAAATATGCTAAGAAATCATTTTTTGTCTTCTCTTAATTTTAGAAAAGACAAACCTTTACTTACGAGTCCTCTCTTTTTCACATCATCATTTATCCTACGTGACAGTCATAGCACCATTACACATGTCTTTAGTCTTTTTTTAGTGCTAAAATCAATTGGTCGACAATTGTCCTAGTGTACGACTCGGGAGTGCAGAATACCACGATGAAAATAATGTGAGGCCCCATTTGGTTCGTTGTTTTGGCGCCCAAAACACATGTAAAATATAGCGAGCGCTATGTCTCGCGAAATCGAACAATCTTTGCAAAAGTCATTTACGCCACTTGTCGCAATTTGATAGTTTTCTTTTTTTAACCTGTTTATTCAAAATGTTTTATCTCTTAAACCGTACGTTCAAATCTTGAACCGTTTTCTCCGTTAATTTCTCGCATCGAGATCTTCAAAACTACATCCTATATTGATAGGTTTCACAAACCCTTTTTCACGAAAAAGCCAGATGAAAAAATTGTGCCTCTCGCAAAAGCAAAACCGTGCCTCCACGAGAAGTAAATGTGTCTCTCGCAGAAAAAAGAGATAACACGTTTATTTTTCGTTTCTGAGAGGCACGACTGTGCCTCTCGCGAAAGTAAATATGTGCCTCTCGCGAAAGTAAATATGTGCCTCTCGCGGAAGGATTTTGTTTGCGAAGGCACGACTATGCGTCTGTGTGACGTCCCCGATTTGACCATACACTAATCATACACACAAATGTGTACGATCAAGATCAAGGACTCACGGGAAGATATCACAACACAACTCTAGACACAAATTAAAATAATACAATCTTTATATTACAAGCCAAGGGCCTCGACGGCTCGAATATAAGAGCTCGAACAAATATAAGTCAGCGGAAGCAACAATATCTGAGTACAAACATAAGTTAAACAAGTTTGCCTTAAGAAGGCTAACATAAACTGGGATACAGATCGAAAGAGGCGCAGGCCTCCTGCCTGGGATCCGGCTAAACTACTCCTGGTCGCCGTCAGCAGGCTGCACGTAGTAGTAGACACCTCCCGAGTAGTAGTAGGCAGGATGCGGACGGTCGTGACGACAATGAGCATGGCGGCGGCGAGTTTCTGCCACGGTGGATCGAGAGACGGAGTACGCGAACGAGCACGGAGTGAGGGGGAATGGAAGAGAGGCTCACCGCGAGCCCGTAGTTGTGCAAAGCGTGCTCGAGGGAGGTTCAGTGTGGCCGGAATTCGATGGCGTCGACGACTCCTTGAGGTTGAAGACGACCTCGTCCCGCACGAAGGAGAGGCGCCCGGCTCGAGACCATTGGCGCAGGCGACGTAGGGGAGCAGGACGGAGCTGGCGGGAACTGCGGATGGATGCGGGGGCATCGGTGGCCGTGGTGGAGCGCGGTGGCTGACGACGATGGCTGCGGGTGGGGACGGATCTGAGCGAGGGAGACGAGGGAGAGAGTGGGGGAGGAGCGAGAGGCGGATGCGGGAGAAATATCTGGAGGGGGGCCTCGGTGGAGGCCTTATCCTCTCCGAGCGTTGCCGACGAGGTGGTCGGGGGCAGCCATGCCCCTGTAGCGACCTGAGACCGATGAACAGGGAGGTGGGGAGAGCGACCGGGGGCTTCGTGCCCAGTTGGGCCGGCCCAGGGGAGGGGTTTTCTTTTGTATTAGCTATTTTGTTTTTGTTTTATTTATTTCCTCTTTTCTGTTTTCTTTTATTGTTTTATTTTTAGTTTCTCTCTTATTTTAGTTTTACAAATTATAAAAGTAGCCCCTAAACTAGTGTTCATAAATATGCTATGACCCCAAACATTTTGGCACCTTAAATAAAGTATACTTCATTTATTATTATTTTAAATGCATTTTAAATAATTGTTTTATCATTGTTATAATTAATTTAGTGCATTGGAACATTTTATAAATAGATGATTTCTTAACCAATATTACTTTCGATTTATTTGCCACGTTTCGAACACTTTAGTTTTCACTTTTGAAAACTTTAATTGTTTGACTTGATTTTAAATTTGAATTTTGACGGGATTTGGAATCATCGCAAGATTAACAACAGTAATCGTGGTGATGTGGCATCATTAGTGAAGGGTTACTATAGTTTGAATATCCGAGCGTCACAATCCTCCTCCACTACAAGAAATCGCGTCCCGAGATTTAAGAGGTGTGTAAGGGCGAAAGATCTGGTTACGAAATTCTAACGAATGTTCTCGATCTTGGTTGCTCTTCTCGAAGAGGTTGATCCATTACGTGGATGTATTCATTACTCTGCTTCAGGTCAACATGATGAAGTCATCATCCTTTTCTTCAAGAACTCCAACGTACTTACGAAAAGTTAAGGGGCAACTTGGCTACGTTAGGATGCTTATGAGGGAAACAATCTGGGGGTTAACCCATGAATGAGCATAAGACTAACTCTCGAGTTGAACATATAAAATACATCGAGAGTAAGGTACAATGAGAGGGTCCAAGCGGATAGGTAGCTGCTCAAAGTCTGAACCATAGTGAGAAAGGGTCCAGAGCAGCGAGAGTAAGTATTGCGTCTGATACCAGAATGGAGCACTAGGAAGGTGGCTCATGAATTACCTACGAAACCAAGAGCAAGGGATAACTGTGTTAACAAGGCATACAGGAGAGTCAGGTTTCGATCCTGTGGAACTGTGCGTTATGGGCCCACCATGTGGTTAAAAGTAGGAAGGTCGGTGACATCTTGCACGATCATGTAAGCAAGGCATGCATGTCAGAGGATAGTCTGTCGGTCATGTCGGCAACACATCGGTACCAAGGGCGAGGGACGGAGAGAACCATTTTCCTGCTCGTTGAACAAGGTGGACCAGTAGGCAAGATTCTCATCCATCGGTGGTTACCAGAATGCCATCAACAAAAGTAACAGGGTCTTTCTATCAGAGTGGTACAACGAGGTGTTTACATAAGCAGGGATATATTACCGCTTATACAATATAGATCACAAGAAGGTTTAAACAAACCAATGGAAATGAAAAGTGATTATCAGGTTTAAATAGAACAATGGAAAGGAAAATGTATTTAAACACATATTTCAAGGGTATATTCTTCCCAAGGACAAGCAGAACATAATCCATGACAGGATATAATGTAGAAAACTCTTTAGGTAGGGGAGAGAATTTTCATGACATTACCCGTACAACGGTGTTTGGATAATTGAGCAGGAAACATTTAACATTAGGCTTTCAATGTTCTTGTTGAAAATTGGAGTACCATATATATGCTTCGAGATAGCATTGACATGGTCTTTAGGCAAAGGTCAGACTTTGGAAACACAAAGGATCCATCAAGAATAACTAGTAGAATAAGTCTTACAATTTCCTCATGGAAGAATGGATAACCTTGCTGAAAAGGAATCTATAACCATAGGGCCTCCAGCCAGCTGGGCTAAGAACGACATCCTTGATATAAAAGATGGTAATACTCCAAGGTAAAGAAGAACAAATGTTGGATAGCAAGGAACTCAAGGTATAACACAGAACACGAACAAGTTTGTGTTGGAGGGAAGGCAATAAAGTTGTCGATGATAACACAATTCATCGAGGGGCAAGGATGGTATTTCTCATCATGAATTCAATTGATATCCTGGAAGAACTCAAAATGTTGATGATGATCATGAAAAAAATTTGTCGAGAGGTTTCATGAAGATGTAATCGGTCGGCGATGACATCAAGTCAAATGAATGATGAAGCGAAAGGTTGTTATTGGAACCATGGGTATGACACAAACTTGAAATCAAGTTTGCTGTTCGAGGAGAATTGATTTGACGAGGAAGATCGACGTAAGCTTAGCTCATCATCGAAAATTTGTGCTCCGGGAAGAAGGACCAGGTAGCACAGTTAAGAGCAGCACGATAAGGATATAGCCGATCAAGAAAGGAATGACTTAAAGGATTATTAAACTCATACGCAACAAAAATATTTAGGGTTATTGAATCGGAGTGCGGACTCGATTCACTATTCGGTGTTCTCGATTGATGACAACCCAGAACCTAGGAACAATTGGATCCGGTGAGTGATAATAGTTGATGAAAAACCCATAAGAAGTTATGATGTCCCATGATATTATCGAGGTACCATGGTGTAATACTCGATGGAAGATTAAAGTACAGGTTGGACTGGTGTATTGATCCACAGAAGACAAGTGCTTAAACTTGCCCGTGAAATGGGGTCAAAGAAGAACATATGGTCGAAACCACGATTGCAAAAGGCCGGATCCTAGATATAAGAACTTATACCAAGGGAAAAATTTAATTTAAGAGAAGCTTTAATGATAAGATCTACATCGTGTCCATGGGCATGAACACAAAGTTCAAGGTCGACTCCCACTTCTTCAATGCATAACCTTTCATTCACTGCTCTAGATAAAAATGATTTCAGTGTCAAAACCTACCTGATGAATTACCAAAGGAGTATGACCCGTGAAAACTTTTGGGTTCACATAGATTAAGAAAAGCATAGGTTCAACCCATCAGGGTATCGTGGAATCATATACCACAAGCTTCATTCGTAAATACCACCAGCTCGAAAACAGAGCATGGTTGAGAAAAACAGAGGATACAATTAACCAAAAGCATTATGTATCCGAGGAAAGGCTAACAAGGTTATTGAATAAGGAGGATACTATCGAATAATAATCCAATAAAG